GGTCCCTGGGGCCCCCGGGGGGGGGGGGGGGGGGGGCTCCTCAGGGGGTGCTACCAGCCCTAATTGCACATTGCATTCCTGGGAGTGATTTAGCAGGGCCAATTAGGAGAGGCCCTCATCAAGTGGGTGAGGGAGGAAGCAAGCGCCACTGGCCACTCTGGGGGCTTGCTTTCCTTGGGAGAGTGACATGGGTAAATGAAGGTGTGATTGATGGCTCCACGCCGCGTGCTCTGTGACAAAGGAGGTTGGTAAACTCTCGGTGAACTCCTGTGGCATTCAGCTGTTGGTGTGTCCCTCAGTGGTGCAGACAGGCAGCACGGGCAGGCAGGCTCCTTACCTTCTTCTCTCCCCTCCTACTCCTCCCTGCCTCTTTATACCCCACCTCAACTCCAAGCAACCCCTGCCTCAGTCCTTTGATTGGAGTAGGCAGTGTATTGCAGCCCCAGCAAGGGGAAAAGGGCCAGCAGAGTGAGGCTGCTCACAGAGCCAAGCTTTTGGAGTCTGGTGACATCACCTCAAGGCTAAGAAACCATAGAGCCCTCCATGCTCCATGGATTATGGATGAGTTCCCCTGACAGCCCTGGCTGTTACCTACCCGTTGAGAACCATTTCCTAACCCTTCAAGCTTCCTTGATAATTGGGACTAGTCGGGCACTCACTCAAGGCTGCCTCAAAGATGAAATATGTTCATGGCCCCGAAAGGGAGGGCAGATCTGCCTGCTTGGTGACTGGTTGGAGGATGCCTTCCCTTTGTTCTGGGGTGGGGGATTACTATAGGAAGCACATATTTAGCTATGTCCTATCCACTCACGGCAGAGCTGGGACCCTCACTCGTCTCCTTGGCTCTTGTGGCCTCCCAGGGTGTGCCTCCCAGGTCCTGCTTCTGCTCATCGAGGTTCTCCTTCGATGTACAGAACTGCCTCTTTGAGAAAGCCTCCCGTGGCAAGAGGGGATGGAGACTGTGCTCTAGCTCCAGGGTTCAGCATTGCCATGCAGCAGCCTGGGATGCTGGCAGGGTCTGAAGGACACCACCCCCAGCAGGTACTACCCTGTACATGGCATTGACTGCTACAGGAGTCCTTAAGCAGGTGATGGAAGGGGAGCTTAAAGTCCCTCTGTACAGTACCCTCTTTGTGATAGCCATGGGGGTATAGATACAGAATAGTTTGTTACGTTGTCCCTGCCACCTAGTAGCAACAGGACATTGTGGTTGGAGGATTTGGAAGCCAAGAGTGATGAGAGTGAAAAAGGCAAAATCTAATGAAGAATTCTTGTTCTTCACATGGAATCTCCAGCCATCAGAAACCACCAGGAAGCCATGGGTATAGGGAAGTCTGTTCTACAGGTGGGAGGACTGGACAGATTTCCCAGAGCCCTGTGGGAACTTAGAGAATGTAAGAAGGTAAGAACCTTCCATGCAGGTGTCTGTTTTGCCTTTCTGGGTCTGGAGTAGCATGTTGGCTCCATGCCCTGTGCTTGTAATTAACTTCACCCTCGAGGAGGCCCTGGGATAGGGTTCATGGACCTTTGCAAGCTCTGAATGACAATGAGTGTACACCTTCCACTTGGCTTCTGGGCAATTCACTTAGGGGCCTTTGCTGTTCTTCCCTGGAAAATGGGACGACCATCCCAGGCTACGCTCCCCTCCAGCCCCTTCCTACCAAGGCTGAGTCATGGTTGGTTGCTTGTCCGTTCATATGTCTATAGGGGACACTTTTGTTCCCTTCTGTTGCTGTAACAGAATACCGCAGACTGGGAAGTTTGTAAAGATGGGGTTTATTTATTTAACTCTTGGTTCTGGGCTTGGGAAGTCCAGTAGTCAGGTGTTGGTTTCTGATAAGCACTTTCTTTGCTTTGTCTAACCTGGCCAAGGGCATCACACAGTCAGACAGCAAGCCTCTTTCACTTACAAAGCTAGTACTGCCACATAGGGCCCCACCTTGATGACCTCATCTCATGTAATTAACACCCAGAAGTTCCTGTCCCATTGACAACATGAGTTTTGGAGTTGAGTTTCCAATACATGTAATCAGGGGCACATGTATTGTGAAATTAAAACTTCTTTACAACTCATTTTCATTAAAAAAAAATTAATTCCCTGGGGTAGGGAGGGATGTGTGCCATGTTTGTGGGGGTGGTCAGAGGAAAACTAGTCGGTTCTCTCTTTTCTACCACATAGGGCCCAGGGACACACCCAGTTCATTGGGCTTTGTGGAAGGTGTGTCGACCCTCTGAGCTGTCTCACCAGCCACCTGACTCAGCTCATTTTAACTCAAGTTTAAAAACTTAAGTAGTGCCTAGTAAGATGGTTCATACCTGTAATCCCAGCACTCTGGGAGCTGAGGCAGGAAGATTGCCAAGCATTCCAGGCCAAAAAGCCTTAAGTGGAGAGAATACTTCTGACTTGAGACCACCAGGAAGGGTGGCAAGAGGCTGGGGGGCAAGGGCTGTTGGGTAAAGACTGTGAACAGATGTCTGCTCTGCCTCTGTGTGTGATGCTTGGTGGTCCTGGCCACTGTGACTGGTGACAGTTTGAGCTGGGGGATTGCTCCATGATCGATCATGTCCTGAGAGGCTGGGGACCCTCCTTCAGGGTTATCTGTTTGAAAGCCTGAGTCCAGTGGCCCCTATGAGCCACCGTGTCCTTTCAGGTCTGTGCTAGGAACAGGGTCAGCACTGAATGTGGTCCACTCCCCAGGCGTCAGGTGTGCCCCTCTGTCCATCACAGCCCTTCGCCAGCCATTCTCCCTTTCTAGCTTTGAGTTTTCACACAACCCATATGCTCTAGCAATGCAGAGAGCCCTAGGAGAGGCCATTCAGCAGAGACAGGATGGGAGGAGGGAAGACTCTAGGGAGGACTGTCTCAACTCTGCTGTTCTGGAGAGAGAGCAGCTAAGCACCTGGCCCTGGGCCATGCTCCTGCAGCTTCAGTTTCCATAGTGGCAGCTTCTGGGAGCCTCACAGAAGAAGGACTGACCTGTTCCTTCATACTTGGTCTCTGTGGTCTTGTCCAACCCATGGAATAGGAGAGCCAGTACCCCCAGTCTAGAACACACCTTTCCAGGGATTTCAAATAGCTCTGCTACATCTCCTGCTGACATTGATGGAGTTCTTTGGGTCTTGGGAATGAATGGCATTAAGCTCCTGCCTTAGTTGCTCACAGACAGTGGGGTGGGATGGGAGTATAAGATAAGCAGCAATCCATTGAGGAAACCAGGGTACCAGCCTGCCTGTGTGGCCTGTAGGGCTAGGAAGGGGAGAAGCAACTCTTGGTGTGGGTGCCCAGGACTCTGAGGCCGCTAAAGCAGGTAAAGCTTTAGCTGTCGCTGCCACCTGGGGGAGGGGAGGATCTTTTCAAGGTTATAGCAGGTGGGGTACCGGACTTGGTTAGTTTTGGAGACAGACCAAGGGCAGACTTGTTTTGGATGTAGTCAGTGAGGGAGAGGGGAGAGTAAGTATGAACTTTGGGTGTTCAAGGCTGCTTCCTATCTAGATGGCCGAGCCCTGGATAGCCCTTTTGTGGGCTGTTCATAGAGCCCGAGTGCATGTGGTGTACTCTCAAGAGCTCCACCCTGGCTGGGTCCAGTTCCCCCAACTCTGTGTGGGTTTGAGCACCCACTGAGGGTACTGTCCTAGTATTGTCCCCAACCTGCCTCGGAAGTGGACACTCCCCTTGTGACTCTCCCCCAGGCACTGACTACTTCCCATGTGAAACTCAGGCAGGCCAGGGTGGCTCTCATATCCAAATCCTCCAGGG